AAACATTCTTCATGTTTTACCTCCTTGGAGGATTTTTTTACATTGTTCAATTTCTCTATTATGCTTTCACACTCATCCTTACCTGTAAAGCTCCTACCCATTTTCCAAGTCCAGGCTGCCCTAAATGTTGTAACAGGATGTGAACTCTCCTGATTCAGAACTTCCATATTATTCGCTGTATGCTAGCTGGAATTCTAATTGTGATTCAGAATACATTCTTGAACAAAATAAGCTTCTTGATAAATATTTCTTATATCCAGGTTTAACTTCACTTTCACTGCTGCCATACTATTCTAGCTTTTTTGTGGAGAAGAACTACTATTTATTTTGTTAAAGCTTTGGAGTGCTATTATCATTCAGGTCTTATTTTTTGAGATTGATTTGTTTGACCCTGTTCTAGGTGTTCAGGTTTTTGCAATGTGTATTAGATATCTATTGCTATGTAATAAATCATCCCCAAACTTAGTGTTTTAGAATAATAAACACTTGTCTTGCAATTCTGTGGGTTAGTAATTTGTGAATAGTTTAGCTGGGTGATTTTGTTTCAGTGTCTCTCATGAGTTTGGAGTCCACGATGTTGACCAGGGCTATAGTTATCAGAGGCTTAATGGGAACTGAAGGATCTCTTTCCAATTTGGCTTCCTTGCATGATTCAGAGGCCTCAGTTTTGTTGTATAGGCCTTTCTATAGGACTCCTTTAGTATCTTTATGATATGGCAGTTGACTTTCTTGAGGCAGAGGGATTTATAGATCAAGCAAGGTGGAAATCATTTCTTTTATGAAGTAGCATCAGAAGTCTTATACCATTATTTCTGTAATAGCCTAGTCATCAGAAGGTTTCACTGACTCTGGGCCACATTGAAGGGGAAGGAATTGACCTTTACCTTTGGAGGGAGGATTGTCAAATAATTTGTGGATATATTTTAAAACTCTACTCCACATGATTATGTGTTTTCATTAGGAGAGCTGATGATTTTGAGTAAATTTTACTAGGACTTGTTTTAGATTATTGCTGTTTATTCAATGTTGAAGAAATTCCAAGTTCTGACGTAACATAGGTATGGTTAATATGGTTTTTATGGGCTGTCAAAGATTTATATATCCTTAATTTCTCTACTAATTTTGAGTTTATTTTACATGATTATTTTTTGAGAATCTTAAAAGTTTTGATAATGTTTCTGTTTTTAGGACACTAACATATCATTGAATAATTCTCAGTTTTCTATTGTTTTTCTCCTGATTCCCTATTTTAAGAAAATGTGTTTTGCATGCCAATTATAGAAATGTGTTTATTGAAATAAATGGCTTATCTTTTCCTCTCAGCTGATTTGAATAGGATGCACAGACAAAATATAGATGCCTACCATAACCCAGATGCAAGAACATATGAAGATAAAGGGGCTGTTGTATCTCTAGACCAAAATTTAGCCACTTCAAATGCTGAGAACCTCGAAGATTCTGCAAATAAAAACTCAGGTTTTTAATCACTTTTTTTTTTTTTAACTTTTCTAAAGTTGTTCAGTAACATTTCTCTTCTTTAAGTTTTTATTGTGATTTTGAGAATTTGGTTACTCTGATACAGGAAGCACACACTATTCATACATTACCTTTTCTTCATAGTTATTTTGAGAAAAATGAATAGGGAAAGGTTGCTTCTTAATACTGTGTATTTCTTCCCAGCTTGCTATGTATACTTTAGCTGCTGCTAACATTTATATTTTACTAGTCAGGGACAGTTCTTAAAAGCAAACACTTTTTTTATACATGTACATGCTTCTTATACCCAAAACTGTTTGAATTAGTAAAAAGGTATAAGTTATAATATGATATATTATAAAGAAAATTCATTTTTTACTTGTTTTCGTAATAATTTACTCTGCCTTGTAAAATCACGTGTACGAAGAAATGAAGTAATTAAAAGTTTTAATTAATATCTGATCACATCGCTCTTTCTTAACCAGAATACATTCTTTAATTAAAGGTTCTACAAGTTGAAAATTGCTCAATATCTTTTTTTATGACATTGGCTATTTGCTAGGAAAAACTTTCAAGTACATTTGAAAGTATGTTATGTATTGAAAGATCAAAGGAAGCTTAAAGAATACTTAAAGAATTTACTTCAGACTTTCGCTTTTGTACCTTCACAGAAGTTTTGACTTTAGATTAGAAAAGGACTTTGCATTAGGAAATTCTTCTAAAATATTCCTGACTGATCATGCAGCCTTTTTTTGTTTTGAGTCATTATTGACTAGACAGATGAGTGAAATGGGAGCTATGGTTAGAGTCACTAGTCCTGCATCTTTCAAGCCTCTGATGGGAGCACTCATCTCTTCAGCCACTTTGAACACTTTAGGAGATGGGTTGTTTGCTGTTTCTGTGGGCAGCCAGTTCCAGTGTTTGATCTCTAATTATGAGAATGCTTTCTTACTTTAGATTTTTACTTATTGGATCTAGTTTTGATTTTTACAGCACTAAAATGGGAACCTTTGATTTTGATGAAATTATTGATTTGGCTTTCTTAATCTATAATAATTCAATGTGCAGTGGGAACATTAAAACACCTTTTCATATTGCTCTGCTAAGAGAGAATTTTGACTTCTTTCTCATTATCATTATTTTTCTCTTCTTCATTTACTTCTTCTAGTAGTCTGTATTAAAATCTCAGTGCTATCTGATCCCTTCTCTACCCTTTTCTTCCATACCCAGTTTGTTTGTAGTTCCATCTCAGCCTAGAATTTTCTCTATCTTAGTAATAACACTTGTTAGATAGATATCTAGCTCTGTTCACCAAGCAAAAACTCTGGAAAATCAACAGGTTCTGTGACCTCTTCCCAAAAGCATAAGCCTGATAATTGAACATACATAGCAAAATTTCTTGTCCGTAGACTTTCTATACTCCCCAGATATTTATTCTGGTGATGTTGACAGGAGGTTCTATTTTAAGAAATCATAAAATGTTTAAAATATGCCCTTTTTTTGTGAATAGAAATTCCCTAAATTAGATTTTACTTCCCTAAGGATTTGCCTAAAATAAACTTTTTGAATGCAAGAAACTGTCCAAAGCCACCTTATTTGTACTATGCCATATATGTGTGTATGATTGTGTGCATTCATATATGTAAATGCATATTTATATATGTTTATAAATACACACACACACACACACACACACACACACACACACACGCATACACGCCTGTGTATAAATGTGGCATTTAACTTTTTTTTTGAGACAAGATCTCACTCTGTAGCCCAGGCTGGAGTGCAGTGGTGCAATCCCATCTTAACTGCAGCCTCAACCTCCTGGACTCAAGTGAACCTGCCATCTTAGCCTCCCAAGTAATTGGGACTACAGACACGTGTCACCAAACCTGGCTAATTATTTTAATTTTTTTGGAGAGACATAGTGTTACTATGTTTCCCAGGCTGTGGCATTTAATATTTTTAAGGCCTTAAGGAACTTGAATACATTTGAAAATTGTATGTTACAGCGTATGTTTAAGTTTCATTATCCTCTAATGTTTCATCTTCATTAGCCCAGTTTTTTTTTTTTTTTTTTTTTAGAGGAGGGGGAATGCAAGGGCGTTGACCAGCACTACTCTCTTCTTCTTTCCCCCCATTCCCCTTGGGGAGGGCCTTGGGGGAGAGGCCTCAGTCTGGACTAGGCCAGTTTTTGAGGCCTTTTATAATGCTCATTATTTTTCTTTTATTTTGTGGTTTTTAGATGAACTGCTATTGATGAAGCCCGATACTAATTTGTCTTAAATTTATTTTTTGGCTTGTTGTGATACCTAGATATATTTCTATTATCTTTATATATAGCAAGTGTATCCCTGTGGTTTTTTATAGTGTATATAAAAAGGACTTATCTTTTCTGTTTCTAATAATAACTGCTTCAAAGGGTCAGAAATATGAGACCATTTTACCATCAAGGTGAAACATACTACTCAGTTTTGTTTTGCTTATTAGCTTTTCCACCACAGTATAAGCTTTAAAAGAACCTCCAAGGTGTATATTTAATTTGTTTTGAATATGAAAATTTTCTAGTGGACAAAAGTATTCATAATGTCTAAGTATTAATTTGACTTTCTGCTAGTCTCTTCAAATAAAAATTAATAAATTTAAATACAAAGGCAAAATAGACTTGATGGCAGCTAAACTGCAAAGCATTCTGCCAGTGCAAAACTACATGGGTGAGATAAACACATGCTTTTGGTTGATGGTGTAAAGAATGAGCCAGAAACTCAAAAATATAAAAAGTTATGTGAGATTTAAGTTTAAATGGGTTATTTTTTTCTGGTGCATTCAAAAAGACTCCTAGAGTATAATTTTTTTTAGGAAATAATTTTTCCATCCAAGAACTACTATTTAAAGATAATGTATAATAAAGTATTTTTTATTGTTCATGTTTATATCACATTAATTTGATAGTTTTAAAAATAGAAACTATTATAATGATTAGGACTGTTTAATTTGTTTAGAAATGTTTTTATAGCTGACTTTCTAATTCATTGTTTAAGATATGAATGAGAATAATTTTGAAATTACTGCTTTTTAAAAACAATTTTAGAAAACTTTAAATATATGTAGACATATTTTAATATATCATGAAGCAGTATTCTCAAGGTTACTTATATATATATAAGAATATAAATGTGTTCTTTTTCTCTCCATAAATTTTACTTTAAAGCTTTTTCTGCAGTTAGAGTTGTTAGGCTGTTTGCTTTTATGTTTTCTTGGTGTCATTTAGGTATTATAAATATAATATGATTTTTTAGCTGTTAATTTTATTTTAGTCTTACCATTTTTCTTTCTCTTGTTACTTTTTATCTGATCTTCAGATTTTAATCTTAGCCTTCTTCTTGATTTTAACTTCTGGACTTCTGCATTTAGCACAGTTTTTAAAGATTTGAATATATTAGCAAACGCTTCATTCTTAACCTCCATCTATTTTCTAAGCGTTGGCTAATGGTGTGTTTTTGTAAAATATCTCTCTCAAGGTCATATGCAAACACAGAGCTCTCCTTTTGCTCGGGGAAATATATTTGGTGAGCCTCCAACTGAACTTCAGATTAAACAGCAAGAATTATACAAGAATTTTCTTCGTTTTCAGGTAAAATGCTTATTTGATCATAATTTCAAAATTTTGTAAGAATTTTAATAAAATAAACTTGCGAGGATTTTCTCCACAGGACAAATAACTAAATTCTAAAATACCATGCAGTTATCTAAGACATCTAATTTATATCAGATATAAGTAGTACTAAAATCATTTCAGTTATATCTGAACAAAGGAAATAAGGAGACATAGTAGGTGTCGTAGTTGACTTAAACTTTTCTAAATTTTATTAAATAATTTTATCAAAGAATGCTGAGTTATTTTCTTTTTCTTTTTGTGTCGGAATGTCACTCTTGTTGCCTAGGCTGGAGTGCAGAGACCTTCTCACGGCTATTACAGCCTCAACCTGCTGGACTCAGGTGGTCTTTCCACCTCAGCCTTGCATCACCACACCCGGCTAATTTTTTACTTTATTGTAGAGACAAGGTCTCGCCAAGTTTCCCAGGCTGGTCTCGAACCCCTAGGCTCAGGCAGTCCTCTTACCTTTGGCCTCCTAAAGTGCTGGGACTATAGGTATGAGCCACCATACCCAGCATAGATTGCTGAGATTTAAAATTGAAAGATTTACTAAAATATTTATCTGTTAGACATAGAATGAATCTGTCTAGGTATTTATAAGTTAGTAGAAAATCAATAGGTTTTTTCCAAATGATATGATATTTTTGACTAATTATTAGATTGTAAATAAATAAAAATTAGTTATAAAATAACTACATTTTGCTATTTTTTTTGCCCGATTTATATATATGTAAATAGCATTTTAAATAGTAGAAATGCCTAAATTATTCCCAAGAGAAGATACTTGGGCATCCAGTATTTGTTAAGCAGATGGACTTATTGAATGGCACTGTGTCTACCTTGCGCTTAATGGAGGAGTGTAGCCTGAGATGAATGAGATACTTGCTCATAAGGGATTCACTGTTTCTTCCCTCTTTATCTCCCTCACCTTCACACTCACACTTAAAACCCAGTGTTAGATGAATCCTGTGGCCTGGCTAATCTTCCTTTGATATGACTCTTCACATGCTCATCTTCTTTACTCAAAACCTAAAAGTAGCTTTTCTTTGCCTGCAGAGATTGTCTAGACTTTCTAGCCTGACATTTAAGGATACCAGTCTAACTCCTGCCTCTTAAACAGATTCCACTCCAACATGTCATCTCCTTTCTAAACCTAATTATTGCTGACTCCTAAATAAGCAGTGACATAACGGTTATAGTGTTTAAGGGTAGCATTAATGTTTAGGAATACAGAGAAAATGAATGGAAAGGCCTTTCTAAGGATCAACAGAAATAATAGATATTGAATGTGTGAGATTCCAAGGATATTTGTCCACTCAAGTCACATAGCAGCAGAATGAGTGTACAGAGGTCCCTGTTGAACTTGAAGGATCCTGTGGTATATTGTCCATGATGACAGCAGGTCAAAATTTGAGTAGTTCCTATTATACTTAGCAAGTCTTACCATGGTCTGATGTAGAATTCAGTGTCCTTACCCCCACCAAAATCTTATGATTGATGGCCTTTTATTGTTAAGATATGTTTACATATGGTATCTCATCAAATCTCAGAATTCTCTGAGGAAGTTATTATTGTCTTTATTTTATGACCGCAGCTAAATTATAGACCAACATGCTCGCCCATGGTGTCAGAGCTAGCAAATTGTGAGGCTGTGCCTAAACCCAAGTTTCCTGACTTCAAGTATCATATTTGTGGTGCCATAGTTACATTTATAGGGATTTCTAGGAACTTTTTCCTCTGGAAAAAACCATAGTAATGGGGGAAGCTCTCACTATTTTAGTTTCAAGTTTTAGTTCTCCCCTGCAAACCCTCAATGTGTCTTTGAATGGAATGCTCTCAAATGATAGTTTTCAAATTTTTCTTTTAGCAGCCTCTTAAAAATTTCTTTTCCCCCCAAAACAAAATCAAACAAATGTAAAATTTAACAAAATGTAGAGTAGCTCTATGGTCTTTATTATTATTATCAACAATATAATGTTAGGCAAGAAGTATCCAAAATGTAAGTATTAGAACAAATGTTATAAAATGTTCAAATCTGTACACAAAGATGGCACGAGAAGCTTTAGCTGGAAGTCTGCACAAACAAGTTATACAATTAGCTCAAGTTAATGTACCAGAAGTCTTCATGCTATTAAAATTTGGCAGATGACACTTGTGAGTGTTTGATGTTTTTAATTACAGCTTTAAAAGTAATTATCAAATTTAATAAAATATTTGCAAGACCTCTGCTGTCCTTTTGTATAATACAGTTTGAAAACCATGACCTGGAAGTTAGTTTCCCTTTATCTATTGAACTGCTGTCTAGCATTTCTGTTGGCATTAACTTTGGATCTCTTAAGTTTATGATCCATTAATGGCTTACAAACTAGTATTTTATTTTGATGGAGAAGTGACCCTGTGGGTGTGAGTTTTTTTTTTTTTTTTTTTTTTCCCTCCCTTCCACGGAATAAGAAGAATGGGGAGTCAAGTGTTGAATACAAAATTTTTGGATTATAAATGATGTTTTCTCTACATATGTTATATTTGAAGAAGTGATTGTGTGCACATTGTTTGCTAAAGTACTAAATATTAGGCCTGTGCATGTTTAATAGTGTTATAAGAAAGAAATATTGGAGAAAGCCCTGGTATATTAAATAATGGGACATGTGAGAAGATTAAAGTTCTTACACTTCAAAAATTAACAGCACCAGATAGAGCAACCTTGAAGCTAGAGGAAATGAAGACAAGAAAAACAAAAATATTATGAATAACTTTAATCCATACCTAAGGATAACTAAAATCTACGGATAATCTTAAACTGGAGTTATGACTATGTGGTACCCATGCCACCATTCCCTCCTGTCTTGTTTGTGGAGAATGTGAACTATCTCTTAGGGCTCTCTTCCCTTCACATCTTAGACTGTTCCTTAGAATATTTCTCCCAGAGTACTCAAAACTACAGGCTCCAGGTAGCATTCAAGAATAAATTTAATTATGCATTCTTGTGACCTAAATCTTCCTGCACCTAATAGTTTTAGTTTTTTTAGTAGATAGGAGAGAAGAAAGAGCATTTTGGGGAAGTGCTTCTTGCATAAAAAAATGAATGAATACTAAAATATTAATGTCACTGTTGTTTCAGAATACTTATCAAGTGCAAGAACTTTGAAATGTAATGGTAGCAGTCTTTAGAGAATAACATAACTATGAATTATTTACCGAGAAGTTATATATAGGAGGAATTTTTATGTTCTTTACAGACATTATTTCACTTCAATTCTTTGAGCACTCCTTTGATGATACATAGACATTAATAACTTTTTTTGTCAGGTAAGAAAACTGAGAACAAGCAAATTTCTTAAGGTCACACAGTCTAAGTATTTGGTAGAGCTGGAATTTAACTCATAACTTCAGTGTATCATATATTCTCCCTAAAAGAATATAAGAGACTGAAAAATTTAGGAACTTTCTTTTAGGAACTTGTAAAAAGAGAGTTCAAGTGGTATCTAACTTTCAATAGTGTTACAAAATAAATAACTAGATTTAATTCTTTAGATAGAGGAAAAGAAACAAAGAGAAGAAGCAGAGCGAGAGAGACTGAGAATTGCAGAAGAAAAAGAAGAAAGGCGGCTCGCAGAACAGAGGGCACGGATTCAGCAAGAGTACGAAGAGGAACAGGAAAAGAAAAGAGAGAAAGAGGAGGAGGTGCATTTTTTTCCTCTACTCTATTTTACTACTTAGCCTGAAGGTGAACTCTTTGATTTAAAAAGGTATTTGTTACTTATAAGTAGAATAGTCTTGGAGTACATTTAGAAAAAACAGTTCAAAATTAATTCATTGAATATATTTTATTAAGGTGAGATAGTAATTTAAGACATAAATGATTTTTTTAGTAAAAAAATAGTGATAGGCTAATAAGACGTTATAAAAGATGCCTAATATTGTACTGTTAAGCAGACAACTTCTTTGTGTTAAAGAATCATCTGTATCCTCAACTTTCTTTATGTGAGACAAATAAGGTAGCACATTTTAAAAAATGTACTATAGAATGTGTATATAGAGTGTATATTTTTCTGTTTACTCTAAAGCAAAGGCTAAAAAATGAAGAGCTTATTCGGTTAGCTGAAGAAAGACGAAAGGAAGCAGAGAGAAAGAAGAAAGAAGAAGAAGAAAAACATAACCTGCAACTTCAGCACTACTATGAAAGAGAAAATATGATTGGGGAAGAAACAAAGGTAAGTTTCAGACAAAAATGGCAATCAAGCCCATAGTTTAACTTACTTTCACTGTGAGAGTTGTGGAGTTAGAAAAAGGGAGAAATAGGAGGAGGTGCTTTCGTTTCTGTTCTGTCTTACTGCTTTGTCTGGGTGCAATGTATTGAACTTCCTACATGAGATGCGGTCACTGTGCTTTGTTGTTATTTTCTGCCCATTGACTGTCGAGATGTGGCAGGATTCTTTACACAGAGACGAGACAGCGAGGCTTCTTTGCCAGGAAGCAACGTTTATTTGTGCCAGCACTGGCCCTGCAGATTCACATCCACGGACTGAGCCCTGAATGCAGCCGGGTGTTAGGACGTTGCCTTATATTACATTTTAGCCCCTTTGTCTCTTTTATAAGGCAACTTGCATTTTTGGTTGGGTGTTTTATGGCACAGGGTTGTAACTGGGTTACTCATGTTCACTTAGACATTGAGTACACCACGTCACTTTCTTTTTCACACATTTTTTTTTCTATTCTGGGAAGGCCCTTATCTCTTTGTGCTTCATTCCCCCCTTTGATGCTCAGGCCCTTTTAGGGCTGAAGAGCATTATCTTGGTTTAAGGGCTGGTATTTTCATAACATCATTACATGTGCTGCCATTTTTCTTTTGATCGTGGCCTTAACGAGGTTAGAGGCAGACCTTATGACTAAAGGGGCCAGACAGGGCAGAATTAGACACATTCCCCAAATTATATTATATATGAGGGTTTTAAATTTTCCAAAAGTTGAGAACCATCCCCTAAACAATTTCCAGAGGTCCCAGCCTTTCCAGGTCTGGACTGGGACATGAGTAATTTTTTAAATCTGGTCAGTGATTTTTTTTTTTTAAACCTTTCCCACATCATCTATTTATAAGCAACAGTTGCTTAGGTTAAATTTTTCACAAACTCTTCCTTCAGAAGCAAGCAAGTAATCTAAGGCTAGGCAATTTTGATAAATAGCATTGCACATCTTGGTTTGCTGCTTGGCTAGTATGTTAAGGGCTTTTATAGTTTCATTAGTTATAATTTTAGCAACTGCCTGTAATCAAATTATGCAGTTTAGCATGTAAATGGGGATCCAATAGTCCCAAGATCCATTTTCTGCTCAGCCAGCCCATAATATTGGATAATACGTTCAGGGGGCCACTTATCATTTTTCCAGTTGCCAATTTGTAAGACATGCCGTTTTCTTTGGGTGTCCCAATTCTTGTATGCTTGGACTTTCAAGTGTTCCCCTCTGGCAAGTGGAACAGGAAGAAGGAGGATCGGATAGACCCTCACACACAAAATTTCGACCAGATGGGGGAAGTACAGCATTGTTCTTCTAGCATGACATATATTCCCTCTTTTTCCACTAGCATCATGTCTAAGGCCATACCGTATTTTTATGTCATTTTACTAGTAGCATTTAGTTGATCAACAATTTTTTAATATTAGTATGGTTAATAAATCTTTGATTAATATATATATAATTGATTTAGTTTATATTCTTACTTATAGTTACCCACCAAAAGAGAGATTTAAATCCTGCAGCTATTTGATTTCAAGCTTTGAATGTATTAGCATTTAGATATATATTAGAGTTAAATGAGCTGGGTGCTGGTGGTTCAGGTAATGATTGTTTGACTTTTTTAGTAGTCATTAGTGAATTTTGAAATGCCAGGGTGAATGGAATAGCCAATTAAACCAAAGCACAGGTTTCCATTTATTTGAGTGGCAACAGGGCTTGAATTGTGCTATCTCCACAGTACCACTAAACATCTGCTTGAGGTGTTAAAGTTCGAGTAGTTGCCCTCAGTTGACCCAGAGACATCAAGGACATGGGTACAGGTTTGCAGATGCCCCACAGGAGTGGTGAAACCATCCCCTCATCTGGAGAGACAAGAGAAGTGATTCGCCTTATCTATGGAGAAGGAAGGCTATACCTTCGGATCTGACATCTGTACAGGCGGATCAGGGAGAGACTGTAGCAAGTCTCGGACCCCCATTCATCCTTATCTTGATTTAGAGCCAACAGACTACTTATTCCTTTGGGGTCTGTGTTCCAGTTAATAGAGAATGGGACCATTTGACCCTGTGGCCAACCCATGGCACAAGCATAACAATCATTTTTGTTAAGACTTGTTATTGTATATTTTATCCATTCAACCCAGGCATTTGTGTTCCCATATCCTGTTTCAATCTCTGAAGTTTAAGTCTGTTACTTCCATAATCATTATCTTGCCAGGATTATTCTTGGTGTTAGTTTGATTCAATTTTCAGAGCTGTAAAAGGTTTGGATTAGGGATTGGGATGGTATTGATGGACAGTGAAGATGCTGGAGGCATTGCAATTAATCTTATCCAAAATTTACCTAGAGGGTCCTGTCCAAATATGGCTGCTCCTAACCTAGATTTCCGAGGTATCACAGGATCTCTGTTTATGAGTTGAGGTTGGGTTATTGTTAATAACAAACGGGGTACATTATAAATGTTGACTACTAGGAGGAGTAGCCCCTCTTATAAGTTGAATTTTATTTTTGAGGCTTTTTCCCCTCTTTTTTACTGGAGCTGTCCATTCTTTAAATTGAGTGGTTCAAAAGACACTAGACCAGTCCCGGCAAGGGTTATTTGGGGCGAGTAAATTATGCTGTTCTTAAAGGGCCAGCCCTTCCATATTTTGTTTTGATACATTTTAGACCATCTTCAGCAGTGGTATCAGGACAAAGGTATTTGTCAACCATAGATAACTTTCTTTGGTCATGAAGACTTCCGCATGACAGGACAGAATAGGCATCAAATTTGATAGTTAATGGGGAGTTTTGCTTTTGTTTATTACTGTGTTTAGAATTAGTAATACCTTTAAGGTATTCAAAGGTTTCATGGTTGCTCAGGATTGAAAAGACCCTTGCAAATACGTTTAACAATAAAAGGAATAAACATGCATATGATAAGAAATGCAATTGGCAGTGCTATGAGAAAAGGTACAGAGGAATACATTAGATTTTCTTGAATTTTAGTTTCAGTGGTTCAATTTGAGAGACTTCCCATTTAATGGGAGTGTTCTCTGGTACCGTAACTTTCTTTAGCGATATTTGACATGGATATGATGCGTTCACCCTTTTTCAGCAGTCCATATGGCCGACTCAGTTGTCAGAAGCACTTGATAGGGTCCTTCCCAGCTTGGTTAGAGCTTACTTTCCTTCTAGGACTTGATCAGCATCCAGTCTCTGGGTTGGAACTGGTGAACTGTAAACTCAAGAGGAGGGAGTCCTTTCAATCTAAGAGAGGATAAGGTAAAGGAAATAGCCAAAACATATTCTTTTAAAAATTGGTGTCTAAGGAAGGGAGGGCTAGGACAGGAGCGGTAATTAAGACTTGCTTTAAGTTTTGTTTTTTTAATATTTGGTAATTTTTCCTCAGTTCACTTAAGAAGGCTTGGGTCCTTTTTTAATAGTTTAGAATATAAGCCTTTAGTTTTAGTTGCATAAGATTTAATCCACAATTTACAATATCTTATTAAGCCCCCAAACTTTTCAAGTTCCCTTAGGATTAAAATTTCTTGTCCTATTCTCCTTAGGGTTGCTTCTTTCTCTAGCTTGCCTTCTCTGGGCTTTGGAGCCCATCCATGGGGGCCTCCCATTCCTTTGTTTCTGGACCACCTTTTTGACAGTGCTTATCATAATTTGAGCTTTCTGCCTCTGCTTTTTAAAATCTGGTCTAAGCCGGGCTCGGTGGCTCAGCCTGTAATCCCATGCCTTGGGAGGCTGAGGTGAGTGAATTGCCTGAGCCCATGGGTTCGAGACCCGCCTGGGCAACTTGGTGAGACCTCATCTCTACAATAAATAAAAAAAAATTAGCCGGACATGGTAGTGCGCGCCTGTAGTTCCAGCTACTTGGAAGGCTGAGGCGGAAGGACCGCTGGAGCCCAGCAGGTCGAGGCTGTGGTGGCCGGGAGCGGCCACTGCACTCCAGCCTGGGTGACAGAGTGAGACTCCAACTCAAAAAAAATAAATAAATAAATTAAATAAAATAAAATCTGGTCTAATAAAACACTTTTGGTGCTTTCCTTGAAAACTTTTTAATGGACTTTTCTTTCCATCCCTCTAACTTTTGTAACTTTTTAGCAATGTTGGGCCAGCTTCTAGTGACAAAGTTTACTTTTAACGATTCTTGTCCTACAAGGTTTTCTGGATCTAACCCAGAATATTTTTTTTTTAAACTGGTCCTTGAATCGTTGTTAAAAAAAAAAAAAAAAAAGCTGGAGGAGTTTTTTCCCTTTTTTTGAATTTTAAAAGCCTTATAAACATTTTGAGACCTTGGGGTAGATTTTCGAATGTCCTTAATCATTGGTTCCCTCAAGTCTTGCATTCTTACCCTGTTTCCTGGGTTATTATTGTCCCATCTAGGGTCAGTATTTGGATATTTCTCTTCAGCAGGCTGGTACACTTGGGGCTGGGGGATGATTTTGTTCCCAGATGAACATAACTGCTTGCCTAATTATTTCTCTTTTCCCCCCAGTAAACAAAATATTCATAATTGACATTAGTTTTACCCAAGTATATATGTTAGGCTTAAGGAATTAATTAACTCGATCAGCCAATCCTATTAGGTCCTCCAGGAGTGGTTTCATTTCTTTTTAAAAATGTCTTCGGTGCTGGTGAATGAAGCATTTATAAAACCAATTTCTCCTTGTCCAATGGGACTTCCCTTAAGTGGAATAGTTTTGACTTCTTTGCCTGAGTCTTCAGGAGGAAAGGGAAAGCTTTTAATATTTTTCTGACATTGTTTCAATTCCCTTTTCAAGTTAGGATAAATATGTTGGGAGTTTGGGGTTTTGACTCCAGAATTCCTGATAGACCTTTGTTCCTGCCCATTCTCCCTCCTTATGCTCCTGGTATTCTTGAGGATTATAAGGCGGGGAAATACAGGAAAGTGGATCCCAAGGCTTTTCCCTTTCCTCCAGGGGCTCAGATTCTTCTATTTTTTTTCTTTCCTTTCCACATTTCCCGT